CTCCAGTCCTAGGGGATCTGATGTTTTCTTCTGCCTCTAAGGGTACTGCACATGTATGAAGCACAGATGTACATTCAGGCAAAACACCCATATGTGGATAAATAAATAAAATATTAAATAAATAAATAAATAAAAAATTAAAAAAAAAAAAAGCTGGCCATAGCGGTACATACTTTTAATCCTAGTGCTCATGAGTTCAAGACCTGTCAGCAGGTCCAGGTCAGCCAAGGCTACAATAGTCTTGAATGAATGAATGAATGAATGAATAGGCTAAAGCCTCTATAGAGACTAGAGGCCTCTGTTTAGCTCCTTTTCTCAATGGTGCTGTGTACATGATAAGCTCTAGATAGTTATGGAACTACTAAATTTGGATGAAACATAACAGTAATATGGAGCATTAATAGAGAGGCATGTGTGGGTAACTTTGATTTTAAAAAGAAATGTGGCTAGGCGGTGGTGACCCACGCCTTTAATTCTAGCACTCAGGAGGCAAAGGCAAGTAGATCTCTGAGTTCCAGGCCAGCTTGTTCTATCAAGCAAGTTCCAGGACAACCAGGACTACACAGAGAAAATCTCTGTCTCAAAAAATAAAAAAAGGCATAATGGTGCATGCCTTTGATCTCAGCATTGTAGAGGCAGAGGCAGGTGGATCTCTCTTGAGTTGGAGGCCAGTCTGGTCTACATAGAGACTTCCAGGACAGCCAGAGCTACATAATGAGACCCTGTCTCAAAAAGTTATTTGAACGTTAGCAGAAATGGGAAAAGATTAGATTTGCCAAATATATATATGAGCTGGACCTGGATACTAAGGCAAGAGAATTGCTTTCACGGCTTGCCCAGGCTCTAGTATGAATTCAAGCTCAGCCTGGCAGACTTAGTGACTCATCTTAGAATCACATGTAGAGAGGGGTAGGGCCAAAGATGTAGCCCAGTGGTAGATTGTTTGCTTGTGTACCATTTGTGAGGCTCTAGGTTCAAACCACAGAACCATAAAAAAGAAGTTGTAAGAGAGAGCTCAGTGGTTAAAAGCACCAGCTGCTCTTCCAGAGGATCTCGGTTTGATTCCCAGTACCTACATGGTAACTCACAACCTTCTGTAACTCTAGTTCCAGGGGATTCATTGCCCTTTTTGGCTTCTCTACAGGTGTGTGTATGTGGTACTAGGCACAGATACATACAGACATAGATTAAGGCAAAACACCTAGACACATAAATAAAATAAACTTTTAAAAAGAACAGAAATGGGGGCTGGAGAAATGGCTCAGCAATTAAGAGCACAGGCTGCTCTTTCAGAGGACCTGGGTTCAATTCCCAGCACCCACATGGCAGCTCACCACTGTCTGTAATTGTAACTTCAGGAGTTTTGACCTTCACAGAGACACACATGCAGGCAAACACACCAGTGCTCATAAAATAAATAATTAAAACAAACAAAAACAAAGAGTTGTATTTGCCAGTTTGAATTTGTCAAACTAGGCCTGAAGATGAAAGTTAGCACAGGCATCCCCTGCACGTTGCCTCACTTCATCACGGGAAAATGTGATTTGGAGGTTTGTTTGTTTTGGAGGGAAGTTGGTTTTTTTGTTTGTTTGGTTTGGTTTGGTTTAGTTTTTCAAGACAGGGTTTTTCTGTGTAGCTCTGGCTGTTCCGGAACTCCCTCTGTAGGCCAGGCTGGCCTTGAACTCAGAGATCCACCTGCCTCTGCCTCCTGAGTGTGGGATTAAAGCTGTGGTGTGCCACCACCACCCGCTTGAGCTTTAACTTTACGGAATATTTTAGATAGAAGTTTTCCTGTGTTCTGCCCAGTCCCACAGTTGCTCAGTCCCAAGTAAACACACAGAGGCTTATATTAATTACAAATTGTATGGCCTATGGCTCAGGCTTCTTGCTAACTAGCTCTTTTATCTTGAATTAACCCTTTTCTATTCATCTGTATGTTGCCACATGGCTGTGGCATTACCAGTCTATTGGCATTTTGTTGCTCCTTGGGCAACAGGCTGGCTTCTCTCCTGACCCTGCTTTTATTCTCTCCCTATCCCACTTGGATTTCCTGCCTGGCTTCATTCTGCACTGTCATAAGCCAATACAGCTTCATTTGTTAACCAGTGGGAGCAACACATATTGACAGCATACAGAAAGACATCCCATAACACTTCTCCTATTCTGTCTAATCAAAAAGGAAGGTTTTCATTTTAATATAGTAAAATTACATGTAACAGCCGGGTGGTGGTGGCGCACGCCTTTAATCCCAGCACTCGGGAGGCAGAGTCAGGCGGATCTCTGTGAGTTCGAGGCCAGCCTGGGCTACAAAGCGAGATCCAGGAAAGGCTCCAAAACTACACAGAGAAACCCTATCTCGGAAAAAAAAAAATTACATGTAACAAAACAGTTATCAAGTAAGAATTATAATTACAATATCTAGTTTATTTGTATTTAGCAAAATTAAAGAAAATACTCTATCTTATTTTTGTGAGTCTAAAGTTTTATATCTAATTTACCATTTTATCACGACTCAGGAAAACTATAGTTATGACTATATAGTCTTCAACTCCATCAAGGACCCCAGAAGGATATAATATTACCTAAGTAAACAGGAAGTACATTGTAAGCAACTTCCAAAATTCTAGAAATAACAGAGACATTTGGCTGCCTGGCTGCCTGGATAGTCACCCAAAGTTCCTCTGCAACATTGGAGCATCCATCTTCAGCCTACAGGCCTAGAGTGTCTGGCAGACTTTTTAGTGAAGCAGGAAATTTGAAACGTTGTCTTTCTTATTGGCAAAGTTCATCAGTCTCTTTCCTCTGTGTCCTGCAGAATGTCGGCAATTTCTTCTGTGAAGCAGGAACCTTAAGGACCATCTCGCCTTGATTTGGCAAAGTTCAGTGGTCACTTTCTTATGGGTCCTGCATGTCTAGTTTATATAGCTTATTGTCAAGCAGTCCAGGCAAGAGCAGTTTCTTACCCAAATGGCTAACTTTTGCCATAAAGAAAGCAAACTCCATATGGAGTTTCTTCGATGCCCATCATCTACTCTGAAGTAATTGGTGCTGCCAGGAGCAGACATGTCTCACTGTCCAGAAAAGTCTAAGTTTTTAAAATATTTTAAATGCCATAATATGTAGGCCTTTGAAGTGTTTGAGAAAATATATGTGTGTATACACACACACACACATTGTTTTTCTTCTTTTTTAGGAAGTCAAAGTGAATTGGGCAACAACCCCCAGCAGTCAAAAGAAAGATACAAGCAGTAAGTACATTTGTTGCCCTATGGGCATTTGTTGTATTATACCCCATAGTTCTATTGTAAAGCATATAACATCATACATGTTTGCAGTAATATTTTGATCGTTATCCTGATATGATTTAATGTGTTTGTGTTAATAAATTTAAGAACAAATCTAATCTTTGTCATCAGGTAGTACCGTTGTCAGCACACAGCGTTCACAAGGTAATTGTATCTTCTTAAACATAAAATGAACTCTCTTGAAAGGGTATTCACTAACCACCTCAAGTTTTTATTTGATATTGGTTGGGGGGAGCGGGGAGGGGAAGGATGTAGTATTTTTATTTGTTTCTGGCGATATTTTTCCCCTTCTTCCCATTGTTGACCAAGTGTGGCTTGTCCACGAATTTGTTGCTAGTTCAAGCTCTCTGTCCCCCTTGGTAGCAGCTGATGTCTTAGAAATACTTTCACCACCTAAAGGGCAAGATACCCTACTTCCCTGAGGTCACCTGGGCTTCATACCCAGATCTTCCAAGTGCTCAAGTTGCTCCTGAAACAGTGTTTCCGGAAGAGCAACCCAGTGTGTGCTTAAGGCCTGCAAATAGGGGTAACTTTTCTTTCCAAATCTACTTTGTCAAAGTTGATATATGTGTCCATTTTAAAGTGTTCTTCAGCAAGTTTGGTTTTTCAAATGTTTCTTTTGAGAATTGTCTTTAAAAAACAACAACAACCACCAAAAAGCTTCACTATGGGATGGTTATTTCTCTCCAGTGCTTTTTTTAATGGTGCTGATATGAAGTGAAGGGATCACTGTTTTCATTCTGTTGCCTTCAGTCTTAGTTCACTTGCACATGGATTCACATAAACTGAATGGTGTAATGTCTGGGCAACCAAAACTGTTGGCTTTTGAGAAAACTGTCAAATACTTTAACATCAAACTGTTGCAATGCAAGGTATTTCTTTGATTGTTCTTCACAAAATAGTGGCTAAACCAAGTATTTCATGTAGCTAGCCTCAATAAATTGCCTTAAATAAGGCAAATCTAGTCTTCATAACTTGCATTACCACTACTTAATTGTAATTTATAAAGCCTAGAAACAGTAATAAAATGAATAACAGTAAATAATTACTATTAGAATGATAACTAAGTCTTACTTTTTTTACAGAATGAAAGTTTTTATATGTTAATAGTTTGTTTTCTAGACCCTTGTAATGATTGACTATAAATAGACAGAGACTGCCAGCTTCTGGGAGCTATCAGTCTTTTTAGAAGACTCTTTCCTGTGTTGTTAACTTTTGAGTTATTATGTTTAAGACTGATAGGATTTTATAGCAAGGACAGTATTTTGTACTTGATTATATAGCCTGTGCATTATTTTAAGAATTCTTAAGAATTTTATCAATTGTAGTATTTAAGTTCTGAAGTTGTATTTTTCTTTTCACTCCCCTCCTTCCTTTGTAAGATCATTTCCATGTGTTTGTTGGTGACCTCAGTCCAGAAATCACAACTGAAGACATCAAAGCAGCTTTTGCACCGTTCGGAAGAATTTCGTAAGTAACAAAAGATAAATAAAACACTTTTAATTGGAAGTGACTTTATGTAATAATAACTATAATTTTGTTGTGACTGTGAACCTTAATTTTAACACTTTAAATACAGCATATTCCATTGTTTAGAGATCATCCAAGAGTCTTAACAGTAGGTTGTATTCCCACTAATGAGTAACTGATCTTTCAGTCATCTTTAGATCCTTGTCCAGTTAGCAACACTTCCTCAGACTGCTGTCATAGACATTTTTAAACTCCTGGAGGTATTGTGCTAGGATTAAAGGAGTTATTCAGGCACTGGTATGATTACATGCATTTTATGTTAATTTAATAAAATAAAACCTCAACAGTTTTGATTGAAAGAGCAGTTATTAAATATTACTTCCTTGGCATTTAATTCTTCCCCCCTTTAAAACTTAGCAATAGTACTTTGTACTGTTTTGGAAAACACTGTCTTATGTTTGATTGTAGCCATGCATTTTAGGCCCTTTGTCAGTATTTATTCAGAGTAGTATTCATCATAGTAGAAGTCTTAATACATGCCATATTACAGTAAGAGTAACAAGAGTTTCAGTATTTATTCAGAAGCAGTTGTTGAGTTTAGGGAAAGTGTTATCGGGTTTCTGATTCCTTTGTTACTGCGTCACTAGAACAAAAATAAAAAGGGAATTCTAGATATGGGTGGTTTGAACAGAACAGCAGATAGAGGTGAGGAGATTTGAAAGTAGATGCCCATGGCATGCAAGTGAGTTTTCAGTTGAGAGTTGCAGTTGATTGGTGAGAGAGTCACTTTGAGGGTAGGACAGGATTAGAGCTTATAAATGGACTCTTCTGATATGTGACATTTTCCCTTGTGAGAACTGGTTAAGAAGATAAGGAAGTTTTAATTTCTTGGTGACTTTTATAAGCTGTGTTAGGATTTCAGTAGTGGTTGGTTTGCTTTCAAGTATCTAGAATAGGCATGCCTTACTTTCACTTTGTTCTGTCAAGCTCTAAAAGTCCTTCTCTGCACAATCTTGTACATTTTCATTTTGGTGTAGAAAATCTTGGTAAGTTTCATCCTGTCCTCAGAGTAGTCACAGGACAACAGAAGGCTTAAGAGTTCCATCCTAATCCATGCTGCTTTCTGTGCAAGTCATCTTAGGAGGAAGTAAGAGGGAGACACTAGAAAGAAAGAAGCCTCTTCTAACATGGACAAGTGAAATAGCTATTGTGGTGGATTTTTAATTTTGGCTGAATTACCCTTTCTGATGAGAATTTTAGTTAGAGATTTAGACAAAGATTGTTTAATAATTATTGAAGGGCTGATAAAATGGTTCAACAGGTAAAGTTGCTTGCTGTCAAGCCTGATGACCTGAGTTCAGTCCCAAAACTCCACATGATGGAAGGAGAAAACTGACTCCTGAAAATTGTCCTCTGACTTCCATACATTCATGCGCACGCGCACACACACACACACACACACTAAATGTTTAAAAAATTGTAAAGTTAAATGGCCTTCAAATTTAAGTTTCATGACTTTGTAGTTGTAAAACTAGTCTGTCTTTTTGTTAAATATGACTATATCATATTTTTAGTCTGGATTTTTTGTTTGTGTATTTGTTTTCACATGTATGTGGGTACGTATGTGTGTGCATGTGTGTATATGCCAGAGATTGACATCAAGTGTCTTCCTCCATCACTCTCCACCAAATACATTGAGGCAGAATTTCTCACTAGAACCTAGAGCTCACTAATTCTACTAGTCCAGGCAGTTTACCCTGAGTATCCCATCTCTGGCTCTCAAGCATGGGAATTAAAGGTGAGCTGCCACACTGACTTGACATGTATATGCTGGAGATTTGAACTCAGGTCCTTTCATTTGCATGATAGCACATTATCTGTTGATCTATTTCCCCAGCCCCGGTATTTGGATTGTCTATGGGCACACAATTGTTAATTTGTTAATTTTTTTTCTTGGTTAGGCCTTTTTGTTGAGGTAATTTGTGTTTAAATGTTAGCTTATACAGGAAGTTAGCTTTCCTAACTATTTGGCAATTGAAAATACACATTTCTGTTTTTGTTTGTGTTGTTGTTTCTTGTCTTAAGGCAACAGCCTGATAAGAATATTGTAGGGTTTCTACAGTAGATGTCTCTGTAGGCAGTTTATATCATTCTTGATTTATAGAGAGTGTGGGGTACATGGTGGTCTATTAAATATTTTTATGAAAATAATTCTTTCCTTAATTTAAATAGCTTAAACCCCTCCTGTTACTTGAGTTTAGGTCATATAGCAAATTTTGATATAGAAGTAAATCAACTACCAAATTAAATGCATGTGTGCCATGTAGATAATAGTTACTGAGAAGTGACTTACATTAGTTTAATCATCAGAAACTGTCATTTTGATTGTACTTAATAAGTCACTTCTAAGCTCATCTAAAATGTACTTGTGTATACTTACAATTACATTGCATGGCTTTCTGACTTGGGTTCTTGTTGTAAACATGCCTGTTTTGTTCATGTGTCTTGAGAGAACAAGCATTGTGACATACCTGGCTAAGTTAAAATAGATTGCCTGTGAAGCACAATTTGAGTCCAGTTTTTTGAGGTGTGGAGTTTTAGCTATCGTGGCTGGGTTTTTACTCAATCTCAAATAATAGGGCTCTGGTTATTTTGCAGAGTGTCTCTGAAGAATGGACAGAATTGCCCTGGCTAACTACAAGCTACGGTTCACAGTGGATAAATGTTGGCGTGCTTTTTTACTTTCTGACTTTTTAAAACTTTGTTTCATATCTTGTAGTTTCCAATCAATCTTACTATGAATGCTGTTATGAAATTCAGTACAAAATCTTTTCTTAGATAGTTTAAAAGTAAAATGTTTTTGTAGTATTCGTCAATGATTTAGCATTTCTGAAAATGTCAAGTTCTCAAAATTTGCCCTAGCCCAAAATGGGGGTATATATTCATCTGAGAAAATGAAGTAATTAGCTTAAGGGATATACAGTTTTTTGATTCTTTAGTTTTCAGTTTTGTATTTTAATTTTTGAATGATTAGGTAGAATATGGTGCCAAGTAGCAAATTATAAATTGCATGGTTAAAGAAAGATAATATATTGTACCTAAGAACCTTGTAATTACTAAATGATTAATGGGAACATCTGCTTTCACCATGCTTAATATTTAGATGTTCATAAAACATTTTGAAGTGGGAAACTTTCTTTATAATATAGATTTATATGTAAGACATTGATTTGCATGTCTATAAAATTAACCCTCATTGGCCAGTAAATTAAGTTTTATAGAATAAAAGGTGAATTTATATTAACGGCTTACTATTAGTGAAGGTGAAATGTAAAAGTGAACTGTATATAGCTCTCCGTTTATGCCCAGAGGACAGTTTCCAAAACCCAATTTCTGGTGGTTCTATTTCAGAGATGCTCGCGTGGTAAAAGACATGGCTACAGGGAAGTCTAAGGGATACGGCTTTGTCTCCTTTTTCAACAAATGGGTGAGCACAATCAGAAGTACTTGCACAGTGCTGTAGAGAAGGTTGTTTTTATCTCTTTCTCTACTGTATATTTAGTTTACTGATAATTAGCACCCTCACTAGAAAGCAGTCTCTTTTATTCTGTTGGGTTATTTAGTCATTTAGGACCTGACACATGCAAAATACTGATACTGTGCTTCAAACAATGCAAAGTAAAAATGCTTACCACCAAAAAAAGAAGCCCAAAATGTTTTGTCAAGGTATTTTTGATGATTTGTAATTGCTGTTATCCCAAAGACTGAGAGGTGTATGCTGCTGTACCTGTGTATCTTTAACTCTGCATTTCCAAAACCCATTATCCAAGAAATGGAATTTAAAGACAATGTTGTAATTTTGAAAAGTTATTGGTTATTGTGTTTCATAAGACATTTTCATTTTTTAAAATCTGCAAAAAGTATCGCTTTTTTTTATTGCTGTAAGTTATTTGTAATATCAACTAATTGCAGCTTCTTTACTGTCTCTAATGTGCGGAACAGGATGCAGAAAATGCCATTCAGCAGATGGGTGGCCAGTGGCTTGGTGGAAGACAAATCAGAACTAACTGGGCAACCCGAAAGCCTCCAGCTCCAAAGAGTACATATGAGTGTAGGTGCATTGGAGAAGAGAAGCAATGTGGAATTGTGGAGAGAAAATACACTAGATTTTAAATGTTAGAGCTGTGCCCGGAGACTTATTGCAGAAATAGATGAGAAGCAGATCAAGACTACTGCTCAAAATGTACTTAGTTTTCATTTTTGTGATTTTAAATAATTATCTTATCTCTAATGTCAAGTCTCCTGTTAAATAGAGCATATGGGATAATGTTTATGCATTCTTGGGGGAGGCTTAATCATAAACTAAGATGTAATATGTGGTTTATAGGCATTTTGATTGAGGAAAACTGCCATTACAGTAGGGTGGTTAACGAGTTAACCCTTCCACGTGTGGGTGGTGATTTGAAGGTAGGAATGTTCTCTCTCCCCAGCAAACACCAAGCAGCTGTCGTACGAGGAGGTTGTCAGTCAGTCCAGCCCCAGCAACTGCACTGTGTACTGCGGAGGGGTGACGTCGGGACTGACAGGTATGGCAGTTTGCCTGTGTGGAACCTGAAACTAGCTGAAACTGAAAAGCTTCATATTTATAGGTCTTTAATAACGGGAATTCTTTTTGTTGTTTTGTTGTTTGCTTTTGTTTCTAACAGAACAACTAATGCGTCAGACTTTTTCTCCATTTGGACAAATAATGGAAATTCGAGTCTTCCCAGATAAAGGATATTCATTTGTTCGGTAGGGATAATTTCTTTCAAAGCTTTTTTTCTTTAGAAATAATTTTGTACATTTAATATAGTGGTTTTCTTAAGAATTTGTGATCACTTACATTACACTTACAGCTCAAGTACATCCACCTGGATAACACTGAAACCTGAAAGAGAAACATCTTTAACATATAGCTGTGTGCTCAATTTTTATTCGTTTTTCTTATTGACAAGGTCTCACTGTACTGCTCTGGCTGGCCTTGAACTCACAGACCTCCACCTGCCTTTGCCTTCCAAGTGCTGGGATTAAAATATACTTACAAGATACATTTTTGTAACTCCCTCTTTCCAACACAAGGCCAACAAAACATACCCTCCATTAAAACAAATTTCCTGTGCCAGGCATGGTGGTGCATATGTATAATCATAGCACTTGAGAGGTAGAGGCTCTCTGCAGCTCTAAGATCTTTGAAAAAACATAGCAAAGAAAATAGGCCACTTTTTTGGTGGGTAGGTGGGGATCATTTCAGAATCTTCTATTTTTTCCATGCTTGCTTTGCTCCCCCCCCCCCAATGGTAGTCAAATTTATTTTTCAGGATTTTTAAAAATAGTTTGTGTTCATAAATACTTAAAAGAATTTATATTGGTGATTCTTAATATTGTTTCCAATAGGTTCAATTCCCATGAAAGTGCAGCACATGCGATTGTTTCTGTTAATGGTACCACCATTGAAGGGCATGTGGTGAAATGCTATTGGGGCAAAGAGACTCTTGATATGATAAATCCCGTGCAACAGGTGAGAGGGTCCTTGACTTTGGGATGGACTTGCTGGGCTAGTAATGAGGTTGCTTTAAAATGAAACGTGTTGATAATCCTTTTTAATGAGTTTCTAGCTCACTTCATAGTATATAAGGGCTCTTCCTACATGTATTATAGTTCCGGAGTGGTGTGTCATGGATTGCAGTGGTGACATGATGAGTGTAACCGCCTCAGTTGACTCATGCTCACACAGTGGATTTTAAAATGCTCCGCCAAACCTAACAGGGTATTAAATCTTTTCTTAATACTTGGTAGATTTATTCACAATGATTTGGAGAACTCACAAGCATGCTTGACCCAACTGAACAAGAAATAAAGCTATAAATATATGTAGGCTTTAGTATTGCTGCTGCTTTTTTTCTAGGCAACTTTAGTGGTCCAAACTCAACACCACAGAGATTTCTATGAGGGAGTTGTAGATGGAGCATAGCTGTACCAGTGAGAAATACCCTAAACCACATATTCTTATGTGCCCGATTTAGAGGAAACAATCAGGCACAGTTATGAACAGCAAGTTCTATCTTTTATTATTAGTCCATTGCCTGAGCCTTACAAGGACTGCCATTTAGAGTACCACATAGTTTCAGTAGTATAATGGCACTTTTTTCAGTAGTCTTTCTGAGTGTGTGTGTGAGAGAGATACTGAGGATTGGATCCAGGCCTCACATAGATTAAGCATTCATGCTGCCACTGAGCTACATTCTCCCAGGCCTATCCTATTATTTCAGTTGTGGTAATGGCCCTGTGCTTTGGCTGTGTAGTGTATTAAGACTGTATATACAAACAAATTCAAGTAATACTAAATTTTCTGTTATAATTTTACTTGATAGCAGCAAAATCAAATTGGATATCCACCAGCATATGGCCAGTGGGGCCAGTGGTATGGAAATGCACAACAGATTGGCCAGTATGTGCCTAATGGTTGGCAAGTACCTGCCTATGGAATGTATGGCCAGCCGTGGAGCCAGCAGGGATTCAAGTAAGCACATTTGCTCTTTGCCTTTCCTAACCTTGGAAAACATCAGAAAGAAACTTAAGTATTGAGTAAATCGTGTAGCCCCAATGTTAAGCATAATGATAGCCTTGAAGGACTTTACCCAAGGATCACATCTCACCTCCACATGCTCTATAGCTAATGTGTGCTTTCTCACTCACTCTCTCTCTCTCTCCACACACATGCAAACAAAATAAGGTAAAATTTTGCCTAGAAATATTTTGCCTTGAAATGTAATCACAACAATACAAATTTTGGTAATGTTTAATAATAAATCAACTTTTCATTATTACATTTTGTTTATATGTGTGGCACACATACCATTTCATACTCATGGTGGCCAGGGAAAAACTTCTGCAAGTTCTTTTTTTCTTCCATATGAATTGTAGTGATCAAGCTCAGGTTCCAGCTCAGTAGCAAGCACTTTGACCCAGTGCACAATCTTACCAGTCCCCATTTTTCGTTTTCTGAGGTAAGATCTTTTTTTGTTTGTTTTTCTAAGGCAAGATCTTATGAAGCCCCTGCTAGCCTTGAACTCTTACTCCTCCTGCTTCTAACTCCCATTTTTTATGGGGATTCAACAACACACCCAAATTAAATCAACTTTCTAGTGAAAAGTACTTGATCTTTTCTAAGCTATTCATATGACTGTAGCTTCTTACCTATTTTTTAAATTAATTTTCTTTTATATTTTATGTGCATTGGTATGAAGCTGTTAAATCCCCTGGAACTGGAGTTACAGATACTTGTGAGCTGCCATGTGGGTGCTGGGAATTGAAACTGGGTCCTCTGGAAGAGCAGCCAGTGCTCTTAACTACTGAGCCATCTCTAGCCACTTGAATACATGTTTTTAAAGATGTGTTTTATGTCTGTGAGTCTCTTGCTTGCATATATTTTTATGTATCACTATTCAGCCTGCAATGGTCACAAGAGGGCATTGAATCACTTAGAACTGGAGTATGAATGGTTGTGAGCCACCATGTGGATACTGGGAATTGAACCTAGGTCCTCTGCAAGAGCAACAAGTGCTCTTAACTTCTGTGCCAACTCTTGCAGCCCCTGGATATATATATTGTTTACCCATGAAAAAAGACTCTCCCTTTATGTGGATTCCAACTGTCAGAAGACTCCTCCTTCTCTCTCTGTGTCTGATCCTCTGCCCCTCTGCCAAAGAATTTGGCCTCAGAGCTCCTCTCTGTCGCTTCTTTTTCTGTCCTCTCATAATTTTAGTAAGTCCCTATGCTTTCAATCTCATCTTCGTCTTCAGTTTCTCTGTCTATGCTCATTTCTTCTCTTCCTACTCTCTTGACCTGAGTGAATCCATATTCTCTACCAAAAAAAAGACAAACAAAAAAAAAACTGCCTTGTTCCTTTCTCTCTGGCCATGCGACTCTGCCCTACCATCTACAGAAACTCTGCCTTGTTCTCTTCTCCTCAGGCCACCAACTCTCTCTGACCAGGAATTCTGCCTCCCCTTCACTCACACCTGGATATGCAAAAATCCTTTCTTCTGAGTCAAAGGCTCTGGAATTCTATTTGGCCAGTCTAGGGAAGGAAAGTCTAAGCTTCATTTGCACAAGAAACAAAGCTATGCATCTACAGTCCTCCTGTCTCCTAGGCTCTGTAGGGGTGTTACCTAGTAGATCAGCAGTAGGTCTGAGAAGTTTATGCTTTTGTTGTATGGCCTAGTAGTATGAGTGCACAAGAATTTCATAGCAAGAAACAGCTGAATATTAAAAGCTAAATAACACCAAATATTCCTTGATAAATGGCTTCCCTCTAGAAAAATTCCTTGATCTTTCTAGGTATAGCTTTATTATATATAGCTGAATCTCTATACTATATTCTTGTGGCTAGCAGCACCTTCCTTTCCCCAAACTTCGTGTCCCTCACTTGCACCACATAGGCTATTGCTGGTGTTACTTGTGTCTGCCCATTAACTAGGTTCCACAGTTTCTCAAGGACATTTGGGCAGCAGGTTTGGTTCCTCATTCCCAAGGTGTAACTAGTGTCTCACAGGTACATTTGTCAAGGTTGATCCTGTGATGATGTAAACTCTGGCAATATCCCAGCCTCTGGTGTTTCTGTTGATTGCCAGTGCAGCCTGGCTATGCTCACATGGCCCTGGACTTTCTGCAGGCCCTGGTCTTCCCTATGAGCAGATGAAATGAAAGAGCAGTACAAATACTTTGATATGCATTGTTCTTTTTTTTCCTGCATGAAAGGTTTGTTCATACACTGTGATGTCACAGGCTTTATATACCCCAAATGATGCCATTTTATTTTCATTTCTGAAAAAAAACTAGGATTATAAGCACATAATATCAAGATATACTCTAAGGCAGGTGAGGTGGCACACACCTTTAATCCCAGCACTCAGGAGGCAGAAAGGTGGTAGATCTCTATAATTTGGAGGCTAGCCCAGTCTACATAGCAAGTGGCATGCTAGCTCACGCAACAGTCCTTTTTTCAAAAAATAAAAAAGAAAGAAAGAAAGAAAAAAGATAAAACAGATATACTGTGTATGTGCCTGAAATTGTCAGATTAGAAATATTCTGTGATAGAGTTGGGTAGATGGCTGAATAGTTAAGATCACCTATTGTTTCTGCAGAATACCAGGTTCTCAGCCCCCACAGGACGGCTCACAGCCATCTTTAATTCTAGTCCAGGAGATCCAACACCCTTTTCTGGCCTCAGTAGGTGCTAGGTATGCCTTACACGTACATACATGCAGGTGAAAACTCAAATATATAGAAATAAGTCTTAAAAAAAAAAAGTAAAAAAAAAATCTTTTAAAAACTACTTAATAGTTTTTCTTAAGTATTAAAGATGTTAGTTCTCCCTGTACCTAATGTTGAAGGTTTTGTGTGTATGTCTTTGCTTTGAGACAGTGTCTCTCGATGTAGCTCTGACTGGCCTGGAACTCACTGTCCTCAGAGATCTGCCTGCTTCTTCCTCCTGAGTGCTGCAAACAAAGAGAGTGGCTTGTCCAATGTGTGTCCAGCCCAAGTAGAGGGATGCTTTTTCTGAGTTCAGAGGGGATGAATGTTTATAGATTAAAAATTTTTTTTTTTTTTTTGTTTTTTCAAGACAAGGTTTCACTGTGTAGCCCTGACTATCCTGGAAGTCACTCTGTAGACCAGGCTGTCTCGAACTCACAGACATATGTTTGCCTCTTCCTCCCAAGTGCTGGGATTAAACACCCAGCTTAAAACTATTTTCTTAGCTGTAATTTCTTAAAAAAAAAAACAAAACAAAAAAAAAAAATTACCCAAATATATATATGGGGATTTTTGTTTTTGTTTTTTGCTTTTGAGACAGGGTTTTGCTGTGCAGCCCTGGCTGTCCTAGATCTATCTCTGTGGACTAGCCTGGCAAGACTTGCACCACCACGCCTGGCCGGGGATGCTTATTTTAAGAGAAAATTGTTTTGTGTTTGTTTCCCTGGCTTAACAGTTTTCCCTCGTATTTGGGTTAAGAAAGGGTATGTGTCCTTGTGTGTGTGTTACTCACTCCTGGCCTGACGTTGTTCTGACAATGGATTTCCCTCCCCTCTGCTTCTCTCACTTTGTCTAACAGTCAGACCCAGTCTTCTGCACCATGGATGGGACCCAATTACAGTGTGCCGCCACCTCAAGGCCAAAATGGCAGCATGCTTCCTAATCAGCCTGCTGGGTATCGAGTGGCAGGGTATGAAACCCAGTGAGAAGAGACTACAAAATGGAAGCCAGTGGCTTGACGCTGCAGGGAGGGTAGGAAAGCTGTTGTTTACTTAAAGATTTATCAAATCAGTCAGTACAAATGCCAGATAATGATGTATTTATTTAAAAGATTCATTTTTTAATCATGAAATTACTTTTCATCCACATTGTTTTAAAAAGGAACAAGATGGTGGATGTCTGCCAATTTTTGCCTTCATTATCTTTTTTTGATAAAGTTTCTCAGATCCTTGTTTCAAAGACAAATGCAGGGATTGCTGCCACTTTTTAAAAATTGAGGCAGAAAATTGCACAATATTGAACTTTCCACTAAAGTAGCGTGCATTTTTAGTTTGCATTCCTGATATGATTTAAAACATGTAATATAGATGTAAAAAGAAAAGCCAAACTTGTGCAAAGTCTAGAAGTTCTTTATAACTTTCAGCGTATGCACAGTTCTGTGTTAGTTTTAAAGAGTAGGCATTACGTGACCTATACCATCTCCACTGTTAGCCCTTTGGAATTTTTAAATGTAAATTATTAGTTTATATCATTTTGTATCTACATTTTTTTCACAAATTTGTCCTGCCTTATAAAAATTCTGTAACATATTCTTAAATGAAAAAAAAAATGATGTTCACTTAGATTGAAAACTTTTCTCAGATGGACTGATAACTGCATTCATCTTGTTTTTATATGAGAAGGTGCCTCAAGGATTCCCATTTGGATTTCTTTAAAGGGATTTTTATCTTCTGTGATAAACTTTGCCATCTACCAGGAACTATAAAAACAACAGCTTGTGACTAAGGAGACTGCAGTGTGCTAAGTCCTCACCCACATCAGCTTCACGTTTCAGCATCTACGTTTACATGTGTTGTTTTCTGAGATAGTTCCTTCCGCAAGGCATAGTTTGCAGTTAGCAAACTTTGTATGTCATTCCCTTCCTAAAGGTGTCATGAAGAGTTGACGTGAGACGGGTTTTACGTTTGCATGTGAATATCACATACGTACTTTGGTAGTCCTTGATACAAACTCATCTGTTCTTGTTTTTCAAGAATTTTGAGACACAAAGTTGTATGTAAAGGAATATATTAATTTGTGTTTTCTAGTAGATTTACTTAAAAAAGTAAATCCATTTTAATATGTACAAATGATAGCTGTGAAACTGTAGAATATTCCTCTGTCGGGTTTGGGGTTCCTTAAGAACTCCAAAATTAGCCTGAAGGACCAGCCGGGCAAAACATTTTTTAAATATTCAGAGGCCAAAATATGAACAAACAAAAAAAAAAATAAGAAACCCTTAAAATCCTACCTCCTTAAATAGCCATCAAGGAAGAGACTCCTCAGCACAGGCATGACTTTGGTTCTTTGGTACCTGATCTCTTGGAGCTTCCACATTATTTTTGAGGTTTGCTCTTTGATGGCATTGTTCTAGCCTTGGGATTTCTAATACATTTCAGAGTCTCTTGGTTTGGTTTGGTTTCAGTGATGACCACAACCTCCTCCTTGACATCAGAGAGGAAGGAGCCCCTGTGAATTGTGGGTTTTGAGACCTGCAGAGAGCTCCCAGCATTTTACTTAGGCCTGTGGAATCGGAAGCATTTCCTGGCCTGTGTCTTCCAGGTAGGAGCACATGACTCTAACTTGTTTTCTAAGCCAGTCCTCTTATAAAGCAGAGCCCAGGAAGACAGCTCAAAATGCGCGCTTCTCTGGAGCTCAGTTCTATGCAGTCGTGCTGATGTTTCATTAAGTCACTGTGTATTTTTAAGTACTAATACATTGAAATTTGCTTTATGGAAGATGAATAAATTTTTTAAATACTTGGAAATTTTATTTCTTTGTAAAGTTCTACAGATCAGGACAGGCAATAAAAGCAGCTTAAATGAAATACTTAAAAAAATTTTAAGAAAAATAAATCATACACATCAGGAAACTATTTTGGCTAATTTTTTTAGCTTTTTTTTTCCTTCTGACTTTTGTTTCTGTATTATCACCCTCAGTATTTTTCTCTATTAAATAATTTTACTTCCTTTGCAACTCATAGACTGCAGGATCATTTGGGCACAAGTAATTTATTTTGTACAGAAGTGTAGCTTCTCTCTTCTTTCGACTCAGTACTGAGGACTTTTATTAGCAGCATGTTCTTATTGCACAGATCTTAAAATTCATGTTGATTTGTTGTTGAGAAGGTGGTGGTGACGTGTTCCTGATGAAAGACTGACATTTTAGGAACATGGCTGGCTTTGGTTTAATTTCAATGTTCAATCATTTAAATCAATTTTCAACCTAAAAATCTTCATCCTGGTATAAGTATCAGGTAAGGAAATCAAGGTTTTTAAAGTGAACTTCTTTGCAATATGCATTTGATTTTACTCTCTGGTACTGTAAAGAACCTGAGTGACTCTCAGTGGGTCATGGAGCCAGTATTCTTTATCCTGACTGTTTGGATATTAAAATTCCTTTATGTTTTCTATGACCTGTGGGATCTTCTTGCAGTGATTATTGTGTGTGAGATTTTTTTTTTCCTGGTGTACTCTGTTATTACCACTCAATCAGGTATTTCATAAGAGATCTTTCACCGTATCCCGGAAGCCATGGTTCGCATGGGTTCCACAGAGGCTCAGCATTCTGTGGGCTTAGCCAACTGAAGCCAGAGTCTGGGCTTCCCATTGAAAACGAGACTTACAGTCCAGGTTTTCCTTCTCTTGTTTTACCCCTGTGTTCACCTTCCTTTTAGATCCGTGCTCCAGTTCCCTTCCAATTTCAGAGGACTAGACTGCATTCATAGTTAGACTCAACAAGTGCTGTTGTAGGTGCTATTGAGATGGTAGTTAGTTAGTAAGACAAAATGTGTGCATAGAAAAATTTAAAAAACAAGTCTTTCAAATGGGTGAAAGTTTCTAAAAACTATTATTTAGTGGTCTGGTAACCTGACTCAGCAGATAAAGATGACTGCCACCAAACCTGATGACTTGAGTTTGATCCTTGGAACACACTTAGTGGAAGTAGAGAACTAACTCTGGCCACAAATATAAATAAATGTTTAAAACTGTTGAGGTTTAGCTGGGCAGTGGTGGTGCACACCTTTGATCCCAGCACTCGGGAGGCAGAGGCAGGCGAATCTCTGTGAGTTCGAGGCCAGCCTGGGCTACAGAGTGAGTTCCAGGACAGGCTCCAAAGCTACACAGAGAAACCCTATCTCAAAAAACAAAACAAAACAAAAACTGTTGGGTTTTTTTTTTTTTTTTAATTGCATCATATATGTGTGTATCTGTGCTTGTGGGTGCAGGTGCCAGTGGATGCCAGAAGAGAGGATGTTGGATTCCTGGAACTGGCATTACAGGTGGTTGTGAACTGCCTGACAGTGGTGCTAGGAACCGAACTATGAAAGAACAGTACGTGCTCTTAACCACGGAGCCTTCTTTCTAGTCCTTCTTTTCTGTTTTTTTGCTTGTTCGTTTTGTTTTGAGATAGAGTCTCACTATATAGCCCTGGTTTGCTTGGAACGCAGAGATCTGCCTACCTCTGCTTCTGAGTGCTGGGATTAAAGGCCCGTTTTAGTTACTGTTTTATTGTTGTGAGGAAACACCATGACCAAGGCAACTTATGACAGAAAATATTTAATTGGAGGCTTGTTTACAGAGGGTTAAGTTTATTATCATCATAGCGGAGAGTGTGGTGGCAGGCAGGCATGGTGCTGGAGCAATAGCTGAAAGGGGAAGGGAGACAGAAAGAGACAGAGCCTGGCATGGGCTTTTGACCCTAAAAGCCCACCCCCAGAGTCTTACCTCCAACAAGACCACACCAAATTCTTCCTAAATAGTCCACCAATGGAAGCAAACAGTCAAATATATAAGCCTGCAGCAGCCATTCTCATTGAAACTGTCACAGAGAGCTATTCCATTTTATTCCAGTCACTATAGTCTGGCTGGTATTTTTAAGGTTGGACAAGCATCCTCCAAAACCTTAAGTTCTCAGTCTTAATGAAATGAAGATGTTGCTGCTGAGCAGGATTTTCTCCCTTTGAGACCTTAGTCGTGTGACTATATGATAAAGGAGGTCAGCTTTTTTAGCAAGGCATGGTGATAGATGCCTGTAATTCTAGCACTTAGGAACTTGAGGCAGGAGAATGACCATCAGTTCTAAATCTGGCCTCCGTAGGCATCTACACATATATGTGTAGCCACCCTAACATACACATAATTAAACTGTTATTTCTTTTTTTGGTAAGCTTTATTTTTGTTATTTTTAAATTATGTGTGTATATGAGGGAGTAGATATCTTTTTAAAGAGATATGTGTTTGAGGGGCTGGAGAGATGCATCGGCACTTAGAACACTGGCTGCTCTTCCAAGGGACCGTGGTTCAGTCCCTAATGGTGGCTTTGAACCATCTGTAACTCCAGTTTCAGAGAGTACAATATCCTCTCTTTAATTTTTTTACTTACTTATTTATTTATTTATTTATTTATTGGTTTTTCGAGACAGGGTTTCTCTCTGTAGTCTGTGTAGCCCTGCTGCCCTGGAACTCAAGAGATCGGCCTGGATTAAAGGTGTGTGCTTCCACCGCCCAGTCAAGATGCCTTTGAAAGTCACCCAAAGTTCTGAATTCCATCAGTGAGGTGTTTTTTTCGGCTGGTTAATTACAGTTCAATGCAAGAATTAAAAGAAGGGACTTGGTCTGTGTGAGAACCAGTTACATTTTAAGTTCTAATCATTATGCCTAAGAGATCCTTGAAACAAAAATGCCTTTGATCTGCAAGCCCCTTGCCCAAGGACAGATAGTTTCTGAAATGCTGGAGACTACAGTTTATGGGAGGTGACAAGCCATGTTTTTCACTCCCCTAATTAAGTTTCTTTGACCCATCTGTACCAATGTGCTTGATCACATGTGTAGGTGGTTCACAGGCAGGAAACACATCAAGATGTACGCTTGGCCCTGATTGGATGTAGGCTGGAGGTATGTCAGCATGTATGCTTGCCCTAATTGGACTTGATAGGAAATGCAATTAATTTTGGGGTTTGCTTCTTAAACCCTTGCCATACGTGATTCTGCCATTTCCCAGGAACCTGGGTATGTACCTGGCCAGAGCCCATCCACCTGGCTGGTATTTAATGAAACTTGCTTCAAATTTGGCTTTAAAATGTGGTAGTAGTCTTATTCTTGATCGAAGGGATTAAAGGCTGAAGAGGAGGCTCAGTGGTTAAGAGCGCTTGATGCTCTTGAGAGGACCAAGTTTGGTTCTCAGTACCCACATTGAGCAGCTCACAACTGCCTGTAACTCTAGCTAGAGGATCTGGTGCCCTCTTCTGTGCACATCCACTTCATTCAGGTGCACATACCTGTGGTTCTTGGGGGTCAAAACCCCCTTGGGGATCGCATATCAGATATCCTGCATATCAGGTATTTACATTATGATTCATAACAGTGGCAAAATTACAGTTGTATTGTAGTATGGTTAGGGGTCACCACATGAGGAACTGTATTAAAGAGTTGAAGCATTAGGAAGGTTGAGAACCACTGTTATACATATGTACACATAATTTTAAAAATAATTAAAAAATGAACTTAGAGCAAGTCATTTGTATCTTTCTGAAATCCACAGCATAAATAGTCTTTGAATAAAAGCTTTCAAATGCAGATGGGTGAATTGTGTGAAGGAGATTTCAGTTACAGGATAAATCCAAATCTGTATTTAGGTAGTTTTCTAGACATGGATGTCCCTAACTAGAGTCTTCTAGAATCTGTTTTAGATTTGGTAGAGATTGATTTTTGTTTGTTTGTTTGTTTTTGAGCCAGGGCCTCATGTAGCCCAGGCTAGTCTCAAACTTGCTATGAAGGCAGTATTTTCTGATCCTCCTGCCTCCACACCCCATTTTCTGGGATCACGGGCATATGCCACTATGCCCTGTCTTATGCAGCCCTGAGGAGCAAAGGCACGCTGTGAAAGCTAAACAAGGATTATACCAACTGAGCTGCATCTCAGCCCTTGTGGCATGTGCTTGTTGGGATTTCTCCAGGGACCCTCTAGATAGGTTTTGCTCTGCTGCCACACTTCTGTTGGTGTGTCTTTATACAGATGCTCTTCATTACCTTCTGTTGACTTCTGTTTGCTGGACCAAGTACTAGCAGGAGTATGAAAGGGAGGTGCGGCCATGGCTCCAGGGATTGAACCTGACTGGGGCAGCAAGGGAAGGAAGTCAAAGCAAACACACAGATGCACAGAAAAGCTGCTTGTCCGATGAACTGACTAATGAAGAGACTAGCACTCCATAAGCCCAGGGTGTTGATTCCATACACTTGAACAGAAAGGCGGCGGTTATGGTGTATAGGGGGATCAAGAGGCAGGTTTAGCTGATCTTGGTAGGAACACACTCTTCAGAGGGAAGAGCTGTGGTGTCCATTTTCTGTGCACACTGTCAACATTTGCACTCAAGACTCCTGAGGAAGGCTTTGCCATCTCTCTGAGCCTCACCTGGATTGAAGAGACAGCTTTGCCATTTTCCCGTGGGTCTATGGCTGGGCCTGTGACACAGCCATGTCAACAGCTCACACACACTCAGGGCTTACTCCACGACCTCCCTGGAGGGACCTTCTCCAGGTTTCACAGCTTCTTCCTTTTTTGGGTACAGTAATGAATTCTTAAAGATGGTGGGAGATAGAGAGGTGGCTCAGAAGTTAAGAGCATTTGCTGTTCTTGGAGAGGACATGGATTTAGTTCCCAGCACCCATATGGCAGTATACAGCAGTCTATCCACTCCATTCCAGTGGATCCAGTGGCCTCCGTGGGCCCTGCAAGCATGTGCACTAGTACACGCAGGCAAACTACTCACAACAATTTAAAAAGAAATGCCAGGTATGCGGCTCTCACCTTAACCCCAGCACTCAGGAGGCAGTGACACGCAGATCTCTGCTAGTTTGAGGCCAGCTGGTCCACAAATTGAGTTCCAGGTCAGCCAGAGCTGTTACACAGAGAAACCCTGTCTTGAAAAACATAAATAATCCTAAAACAAAAGCAGCAGCTCAAGGGTAGTAGACCTTGTTTAACCTGCTTGGTGCCCGAGTTTTCAGTCCCTAGCAATGGGGTTGGTTAGCCCTGGGTTCTCAGAAAGAGTTCTGTGCTGGTCCTGAGCAGCTCCCTTTTCTCCGTCATCTGCTGCCCAAAGGAATCCAGCTCCTGTTTTGCAAGTTGCTTCTTAATGTGTCTGGACCCTGGGACTGACTTCACACCACCTCTCTGCTCTTCAGGCCTCACATTGTTTCAAATGGTGCCTAAGAGGTCAGTGAAACTACAGCATGCCTCTCAGTACCTGTCATAGTTTAGCTTTTACTCAACACCATAGAATCCCACCTCCATTCTCACATCAACCCCTCAGTGCCACAATGACCTGTGTTTGAATGAACAGTTTATTAGGCAGGAGACAAAGATCAAAAAGAGATGCTGGGGCTAGAGAGATGGCTCAGCTGTTAAGAGCACTTGCTTCCAGGCACC